TTTCATAGGTCTTTTGAGATTGTTTATTCTTGAATCAGTTTTGGTAATTTGTGTTTCTAGGAATTTGTCCATTTCATCTAGGTTGTCTGATTATTGGCATTAAGCTGTTCATAGTGGTCTCTTACAATTCCTTTTATTTCTTTTGACTCTAATGGTAGGACCCAGAAGGATAGTAGAACCTAAAGAAGCTGGCAGCTACCGAAGAGATGAACTGGGTCCCTCTGAAGACCATATTGTCCCCTTAGTAGGCTGACTGGGAGTATCAAAGAAAACGATTTTAGTTGTTTATCGATTCTCCAGTAAGCCATGGTAGATTAACTCTGTAGTGTATATCATAAGGTGCCTATAGCTAAGGTCTCCCAGTGCTCTTCCGTTATCACTTACATCTTAGATCGTGTCTGCACCATTTCTCTCATTAGAATCTTTCGAATTGGAACTCTCGATAGGGCCGAGAACTAATTTTCCTTCCTGAGCTAGTTGTTAAGTCTTAGAATCTAAACAGGGCAATTTCATGTTTGTTATAGCCAATGTTATATTGTCTATATACCCACCTATGTATTTCTGGAAGAAATATTTTTTAAAGAAATGTAAACAGTTATATATTTCTTATCTTCATAGATCTACAGGAAATTCAAAGGATCAAGATGATAAAATGACTGCACACAATGTTCATCTAAAGTCTAAGATCAGTAGCTATACATGCAAGACACCAACAGATTCTAACTTGGGTTCTGGAGAACCTGAAGCTTCAGTTTTGGAGGAAAGGTATGCGTGTTTTCTGAGGATAATAGGATTTGCCCTCTATATTAGTGACCTGTTGTGTATAACAGATTACTCCAGAACTTAATTTTAATTTTGTTATTGGCTTGCAAGTGTTTATTTTATAGTTTCTGTGGGCCAGAAATCTGGGAGAGCTAGTTCTGCTCATGGATTCTCAGGAAGTTGCAGTCAAGATGTCTTTCTGGTTTGTAGTCCTTTAAAGGCTTGTCTGGAACTGGAGGATCCATTTATAAGGTGTCTCACTCACATGACTGTTGGCTGGAGATCGTAGTTCCTTGCTGGCTGTTGTCAGTAGACCTCAGTTTCTTGCCATGTGGCCCTCTTGGCTATTCAGTAGGGTGCCTGGCTTTCCACAAAGCAAATGAGTGAAGAGAAATCGTGACTGTGATGGAAATCACAATGCCTTTTAATGGTTTAGTCTTTGACGTTGTACACGGTCACTACTACTTTAATTCTTCTGTTCATTGGAAACAAATTATTGGGTCCAGACTTCGTTCAGGGAGAGATGGAATTAGGCTCTATCTCTTAAAAGGAGGAGTATGGAAGAATTTGTGGATAACCACACTTAGTGAGCAAATTTAATTAATCTACTCCTATTATATCTGAAGTTATGTAACTTTTTAAAAAATAAATGCTAAATTATAGGAGATTCTCAGACTTTGAAGGGATGGCTAAGATCTCTTTTCTATATGTGGGATTATAAGTAGGCCTATCCTGAGTACATAATGGGAGGAAAGGAATCCAGGATTGGGATAACCTGAATCATTTCTATTTCTGTACTCCATTTTAAGTTCCATTTGTTTTTGACTATAGTTTTTTAAAAGATTAAGATACACTGATTTATTTCT